GAGTGGTGAAACATTGGAACAGGCTGCCCAGGGAAGTGGTGGAGTCTCCATCCCTGGAGGGATTTAAAAGACGTGTAGATGAGGCGCTTAGGGACATGGTTTAGTGGACATGGTGGTGTTGGGTTGACGGTTGGACTCGATGATCTTAGAGGTCTTTTCCAACCTCAATGATTCTATGATTCTAGGGGTGTGACAAGCCCTCGTTCGCAGGTGTACGTGTATATATTTGTTTGTATAATATACTTTTCTGTATTTCCTTTTTAATAGAGTTGTCTTTGCTTTTACTGTGTTATTTTTTTCCAAGGTGTGGCTCTGACAGCAGATACTAAGGTCCAGAGGATGCCTAGTGAATCTGCAGCACAATCCTTAGCCGTAGCACTTCCTGCTTCTCAGTCCAGGTACTGCTGTGTTACTTCATTGATGCTTTCGTAACCTATGGGAATTTCAAGGCAAAATGCAGAAGTCAGGATAAGAGCTGCTTTGAGTATTTTGAATATTCTAATTTATAAAATGTTTAAAGAAACTACTTCTAGTGTGGCCAGGCATCATTTTTCTGTACGCATTTTTTTCTTAGATATCATTAGAGGCAATGGGCAGACATTGGAACAAGAGAAATTCTGTTTAGATGCAGGAGGAAAACATGGGGCTTTGTTTGTGGGTGTCTTTCACCTTGAGGTGGTCAGGCACTGGAACAGGTTCCCCGGGGAGGTTGTGGAGTCTCCATCCTTGGAGGTGTACAGCACTCGACTGAATGCAGCCCTGTGGTACCTTATCACTTCCTTAGTGAAAGACAAAGTTGATTCCAATCCATCAACCATTTTCATTCAACGTAGGTTGGATACAAATCGGACAGCTGCTGGCGTGGGTGATATTTACAGGCACGCTGGAATATCTGAGCGTTCACAGCCTCCTGGGATGTCTGTGGTGAGTTCGTTGCACATCGAATGTGAAAAGTACGTAGCGTTCACCAGATTGCTTCTGGATTCATTTGTCTGTTGTGTGGAGATCTCCTGACTGACTAAATTTAATCAGTGTTGAGATGTCAGAGCGAGAAGGCTTTAGGTTTTAGGCAAAGAGGTAAGTTATAAAGCATAAGAGTAACCTTCCTTTTAACTTACAGGCTATGGTGGAAGCTGGTGGAAACAAAAATTCTGCGTTAATGGCAAAGAAGGCTCCAACCATGCCCAAACCTCAGTGGCATCCACCTTGGAAACTGTACAGAGTAAGTTACAAATGTGTGACATGAACATGCATGTGAAAGTAAATGAATATTTTATGTTCTATAAAGACCTCAAAGCATAACTTTTGCTTCTCATTCACAAAAATGAAATCAAATGAGAAGTGATCACAACTAAGTTGTACATGCCCACTGTCTCCTTAAATAACAAAGAGATTAGATTACAAACATTTTTCATTCTATTTAGCAAATTGTTTTGTGAATATTATTGATATTACCCTTTTGTTTATGTAGGTTTAGCTGTAGTATGATAAATTCATTTAAGAGATTGTTTTTTCTTTTCTAGTCAGATTCTTTGGTAGAGGAACTCAAAGACAAGGTGCAAAATTTGAAACTAATAACATGCTGGAGAAATACTCTAGCAATGTTAACATAATGAAATTGTCTGCAAAAACATTTAAAGGCAGTCAGCGTCTGAGTCAGCCAGACTTCTTTTACTTGCTATGAAAATGGGGGGGAAAAAGCGCTGAATACTTTAATCACAAATTATCTTTGCAGTTTAGACTGCTTGACTTCTAGTCTTGTTTTTGAATTCGTCTAATTTGCCTTTTAATTTTCTTAGGGAATAATAATAGCCATTCCCCAAAAATCTCGTATCATCTTTAAACATTTTGGTGATGAGCGTGGCAGGGTAGCTGAGTTGAAAGGAAAATTGCTAAGCTTATGTATTGGTTCAGATCTCATTAACTTTTCAGGTGCATCTGTTTGAATGTGTACATATTTTATTTTTTCTGCGAAGGGGCTGATTCTTACTATGAAATTTAAGCAATTTCATGTTTTGTCTAAGAAAGGGTGAATATTATTTTAGGAATGTCAGGCTTTCCTGATATTTAAAAATCTCATGCTCTAGTATCAGATTTGTATTGTCTTAGCATCGTTCATCTAAATATAGCACCATACGTAGGTATTTAGATCTTCAGAAGAATCCTGAATGCTGTATTAGTCATAAATCTTAAGGCTAATCTTAAAAAGTAACTTGAAAAACACTTGAGCTCAAAGGAATATATAGGTATTCTAAATACAGCAGTGTTAGAACAGGCTCTATATAAAAATTAAGACAAATGTCATTTGAAAAAAATGGCACCAAAATAAACCCATGAGAGATTTAAGGTAAACAAATGAAAAATGACTACTTGTCATGACTTTTCAGAGAGGCAATGTAAATACAATTCATGTCACTGTACTAATTCTACATGTCAACAGTTTTAGTGGAGGTTTGCTGTCAAAATCCGTGCTCAACAGGACAAAAGCTTGTTCAAGCAACTCAGAAGTAGAAACATAGCTGGAACACCAAATGTGGGCTTCATCTCATCTGTTGCTTAAGGTCTACATTTTAACTGGTCTTCCTAAGCTTGGTTTGAAGTCATTTGTGAAAGATGGGGAATTGAAATAGGTCAGATAATTTATTTCTTAGATATCTGCCCTGGAAATGCCCATTTCTTTTCCTAGACTATGAAGAAATCTAGACAGCTATCTGAAATATGTGTAGCTGTGGTCATAAGAATCCATTTTAGCTTTCCAAAGTATTTCTGCTTTATTTCTGCCTAAGAACTTTTGGTGTGTTCTAGGTTTTTTGAAATGAGCTGTATGACAGTACATGAAGAATGATATCCAGTGAAACCAAATATGGGTTTTGATTTTAGCTGTCTGACTTTGGCAAAATTAGGGAAACAGAAAGGCTGCTGTTAGCAAGCCATGTATTGGTAGAGCTTTTCTTGTGAGATCCGTCTCCAGTATTTTGTTACCAGAAAGTTTCCGGCATACTCATATTACCCCTTATTTGGGGAAAAGGAGGTGGTGGCATGCTTTAAGAGGTAGCTGTTATATGGCAATGTGATTTAATAGCCAAGTTTTTATATAATTGTTCTTTTAACTATTATTGTATAAGCACTCTACAGCAGCATAAGGAACTTGTGCTTAAATACAGTCTTTCTCTGCAAAGCCTCAAGTGTTGAGCCACAGTGTTACAGACTCTCAAAGGATTTGAAAAAGTTGCTTGTAGGAGCAGGGTCTTTTTGTACTGCAAGTTCCCCAAGTCTAGTGTATGACGTGAATTTCTAGTAGTCTCCTCATTTAACTAAAGTCGAAATCAAGCTCTCTTCAGATCTAATTTCACATTTGACCTTTCTGGGGAGGATGTGTTTCTTGGTGAATACTAACAAATTCCAGTGTTGGAGAATTAAATTATATTGACAGATGTATGTGTATTATTTCTGATTCAGAAAAATTTTTGTTTTTTCTAAAGGTTATCAGTGGTCACCTGGGGTGGGTGAGATGTATTGCAGTAGAACCAGGAAATCAGTGGTTTGTTACTGGCTCTGCTGACAGAACTATAAAGGTAAGAGGTCGGAAGAAATCACTGACAAAGTTTGGGTGTGGATTTTTTTTGTTCTCGTATTTAAAAAAGTCTTCAGCCCTTGGAAACAATTTCTTGGTTACTGCTTGCAGAATACTGAACTGCAGAACATTTTTTCTTACCTAGTCATAATTTGTGGAGTATTACTACTTCTTGAGATTTCATTTATTACATGGTAGTAGCTGGAGAGCAAACCTTTATGTTATTGTAACTTTTAATTTAAAATGCAGCAGGATCAATTACATCTGGGCTGTTTACCCAGACTATCACTGTGTAGCTTTTGCCTGTCTACCTCAAAATGCCTATTTTGATGCAGATTTGGGACCTTGCTAGTGGCAAATTGAAATTGTCTTTGACGGGACACATCAGTACTGTACGAGGGGTGATAGTAAGTGCAAGAAGTCCATACCTCTTTTCTTGTGGAGAAGACAAACAAGTGAAATGCTGGGATCTCGAATACAATAAGGTAAGCTGTAGTTTCTTTAATTGGAATTAATTGGTGGCTGCAAATATAAAAATCAAAGCACTTAGAATATTCTTTCAAATATCCAGTTAGTGTGTGTGCGGTTTTTTTATTCATCTAGGTTATCAGACATTACCATGGTCATCTAAGTGCTGTCTACGGTTTAGACTTGCATCCAACAATAGATGTCCTGGTAACATGCAGCAGAGATTCAACAGCACGAGTAAGTATAGCATTGTTATGTTTTAACACCTTGATATGTCAGTGTGTTTCAACATCTTCCTTTTGTAAAAGTGAATACTTACCAAAAGTTAACATGAATCAAGATGAAAACACTAAGATCACTTACATTAACTTTGTCTTCCATTGTTGATTAAAAACTGAAACCCAAATACACAAAAATGCAATGTTGCTTCAGGAGAATGTTTTATTTCTTAATTTCGTAGGTAGACTACATAGTGTATATAGGATCACTTTGTTCTATTTAGAAGATGGTGTGGTTTTGTGGTGACTAAGTTATCTGCATGTCTAGAAATTCAGTGGCAGGCTCCTTGCTCCCCTTGAAATTTGCCAGCTGAGGCAGTTGTGTGATGAATTGTTGGATGAAAAAAAACAACCTAAATACCGTTGTTTAATCTGTAGAACTATGGCAAGGAATTCATGTAATCAATGACAGTGCCTAAAATACATTGAATATGTACCTGTTATTGACCTCTGTGACCTATTTACTGTGAATTCATAGATTTGGGATGTGAGGACGAAAGCCAGTGTGCACACGCTATCAGGACACACAAATGCGGTAGCGACAGTGAAGTGCCAAGCTGCAGAACCACAAATTATTACAGGTATAGTAGGCATGGTTTCACGAGTAACGTGATTGTAAAACCTAATTGTGAATGTATTTGTTCAGTAATTATGTGAGGTTCATGATGTTATCTTTGTTAATTTATTCAATTTCTCTTACTAGTTTTCTGTTGAAAATGGGACATTCAATGGTTATTTCATACTGTTAATGGTATGTTTAAGCAAATATAGCTATGCATTGTTTGAATGTTTTTTCTGCACTTCCTTTGCTTCTGGTGTTTACATTTTTTGTCGTAATATGTATTGAGATTTGCATTTTCTGTGATATTTCACAGTTCTCCCTGATTCAGTTAAGAAGTGTCCAGTACCATGGTTAAACATAAAGTTCATCTTCTTTCCCATTATGTCACACAACAAAGCTAGATTTTGACTGCTTAGGTCTCCTTGAATTTCAAACTGCATAAAAAGACTATTACAACCCAGCATCTTTCTCATCTGAGGCGGCATTAGTATCATATTTTTGTAGCAAACATTAATGATATTTTTGTCTCTTTCACATATAAAGTTTTGGCTGCCTTATTAAAATAATAACGACGATAGAATCAATATGATGATTTCTACTATTTTTCATTTACTTTTCATTGCAGGCAGTCATGATACTACCATACGGCTCTGGGATTTAGTGGCAGGAAAAACTCGTGTTACTTACAAATCACACAAACTGCATAAAAAGACTATTACAACCCAGCATCTTTCTCATCTGAGGCGGCATTAGTATCATATTTTTGTAGCAAACATTAATGATATTTTTGTCTCTTTCACATATAAAGTTTTGGCTGCCTTATTAAAATAATAACGACGATAGAATCAATATGATGATTTCTACTATTTTTCATTTACTTTTCATTGCAGGCAGTCATGATACTACCATACGGCTCTGGGATTTAGTGGCAGGAAAAACTCGTGTTACTTTAACAAATCACAAGAAATCTGTAAGAGCAGTAGTGCTACATCCAAGACAGTAAGTTTTCCTTGTTCTTTTACACTTTCACAGTTCATAACATTGGCTGGTGACAGAAAGCCAATGTGAGTGATGATTTAGAATGGTAGGGCATAATGCGAAACTAACAAGCTTACAATGCTGTAAAAATGTACATATCAGTTGTCAAATACTTTTACTACACTGATTGTGCTCCCCAAGTATTGGCATTGGTGTACATTAGCAATCCTGAGAATGTCTTGTATCCCACAGAATTTCTTATGTATGTGCCTTCGATGCAGTCCTTGAGAAATCAGCGACGCTGGGCTTGTAAGGCTAATAATGGATATGTAACTGAATGATTGTTAGCACAAAGTGAAGTAGTTTTGTAAAATGGCACATGTGTGAATAATGCTAAAGGAGACAGTGATTAATACAAAGGGATTTTTTTTAATATGTGGTTCACTGCACAAGACATTTCAATATAACTGGCCTTAAAAAGAGACTTCTTGTGAGTATTTAATCTTTGAAGCAGGTGTCGTTGGAAGTGCTCTGAATTTAGATGCTATATTTTGATGCATCAACAGTTGCCTGTTTGGATAAATCCCCATTAAAACAATGGAGAAGAGCAATTCACAGAAAACTGTGAAACAGTACTTCTGCATGTTCAGTATTTTAAAATTAAATTCTGTCAGTGCAGAAATTCAGAATCTTTGATATGAATAAAATCTGAAAAACTGTAAAAGTCTTATGATATGCCTGTTAGCTATAGCAGAGAAAAACCCTAGTTTTACTTACATTCTGCAAAAAAACAAAATCTGGTTTCAGGTTTGTCAGTCATACCTCTTTGAAAAAAAAACTTCAAGTATTTTTCTCAAGCAGTAGCAACTGTCAGCCTAGTATTTTTTAATATTTCAGTACTTTATTTTTTTTAATATTCCAGTATTTTTTCTT